TAACATAAAGCTAATGTAACAATCTTCTATTTGTATCCTAATATATCCAAATTCTGTGGCTAAACCAATATCAAAACCTAATGTGAATAGAAAGTATTCTTTTTACCAACTTCCTCATTATTTGTTTCCAAAAGGCACTTGAATCATTAGACTGGATATAAAACCATCGCTACTTATTAATGTATGTCAGTGCCATTTTAGAAAGGATATTAGAACATGTGATAAAAATAATAACAAAAATAAATTTCAATCATAAAAGGAAATATGTAGAAATGTATGTTGAGACATCTATAAATGGTTCATCAAAGAAAGAATACTTGATATCTCATGACGCACATGGCCTCAGAAACACCATGAGCATGTTTCATACTTGTATGAAAGCTAAATATAATATAACACACGTGTGTACGTTCAAAAAATTAGCAAGTTTATAACAAGGCGTAAATTGAGTTCATATTGGTTTCTGAATATTTTTTTCATAATTTTTCATTACTATATATCTACAATACATTCCATCAGTTGTCACAAGTCCTATTCGTAATGGGGACGCTGCCCGTGAGAGTCAGACGGAGGTTCGGGGGCTGTTTTGAAGTTTCGCCCCCGAAACGCCCTTTTTCAACAAAGTTTTGGACGTATTCGGCTCTAAATCCCAACCTACGGGTCCGAATAACATTCCATCAGTTGTCACAAGTCCTATTTGGCATGGGGAAGGTGTTCGTGTCGGCCACACGGCGGTTCGGAGCCTGTTTTGAATTTTTGCCCTGAAACGCCCTTTTTCGACTAAGTTTTGGGCGTATTCGGCGCTAAATGCCAACTTACGGGTCTGAATAACATTCCGTCATTTATCTCAAGTTATATTTGGCATGGGAAAGGTGTTCGTGTCGGCTACACGGCGGTTCAAGGGCTGTTTTGAATTTTCACCCCCGAAACGCCCTTTTTCGACTAAGTTTTGGGCGTATTCAGCTCTAACTCCCAACCTAGGGGTCCGAATTACATTCTATCAGTTGTGACAGGTCATATTTGGCATGAAGAAGCTGTTCGTGTTGGCCACACGGCGGTTCAGGGGCTGTTTTGAATTTTCGCCCCTGAAACGCTCTTTTTCAACTAAGTTTTGGCGTATTCGTCTTTAAATCCCAACCTACGAGTCCGAATAAAATTCCGTCAATTGTCACAAGTTATATTTGGCATAGGGAAGGTGTTCGTGTCGGCCACACGGTGATTCGAGAGCTGTTTTGAATTTTCGCCCCCTAAAAAGCTCTTTTTCGACTACGTTTTGGGCGTATTCGGCTCTAAATCCCAACCTACGGGTCCAAATAACATTCCGTCAGTTGTCACAAGTTCTATTTGGCATGGGGAAGGTGTTCATGTCAGCCACACGGCGATTCAAGGGTTGTTTTGAAGTTTCACCCCCGAAACTCCATTTTTCGACTAAGTTTTTGGCGTATTCAGCTCTAAATCCCAACCTACGGGTCCGAATAACATTCCGTCAGTTGCCACAAGTCCTATTTGGCATGGGGAAGCTGTTTGTGTCGGCCACACAGCGGTTTGGGGGCTGTTTTGAATTTTTGCCCTCTGAAACGCCCTTTTTCGACTAAGTTTTGGGCGTATTCGGCTTTAAATCCCAACCTATGGATCCGAATAACATTCTGTCATTTGTCACACGTCCTACTTGGCATGGGGAAACTGCCCGTGTCAGCCACACGGCGGTTCAAGGGCTGTTTTAAATTTTTGCCCCTGAAACGCCTTTTTTCGACTAAGTTTTGGGCGTATTCGGTGCTAAATCCTAACTTACGGGTCCGAATAACATTTCGTCATTTGTCACAAGTCATATTTGGCATGGGGAAGGTGTTCGTGTCGGCCACACGGTGGTTCAAGGGCTGTTTTGAATTTTTGCTCCCGAAACACCCTTTTTTGACTAAGTTTTGGCATATTCGTCTCTAAATCCCAACCTACGGGTCCGAATAGCATTCTGTCAGTTGTCACAAGTCCTGTTTGGCATGGGGAAGGTGTTCGTGTCGGCCACACAGTAGTTCGGGGGCTGTTGTGAATTTTCGCCATCAGAAAGTTCTTTTTCAACTAAACTTAAGACGCATTCGGCTCTAACTCCCAACTTACGGGCCCGGATTACGTTCCGTCAGTTGTCACAAGTCCTATTTGTCATGGAAGAACTGTCCGTGTGAGCCACACGGTGGTTCGGGGGCTATTTTGAATTTTCGCCACTGAAACGCCCCTTTTCGACAAAGTTTAGGGCGTACTCGGCTCTAAGTCCCAACTTACGGGTCCAAATTATGTTCCGTCAGTTCTCAGAACTCCTATTTGTCATGAAGAAATTATCTGTGCAAGCCACACGGTCGTTCGGGGGCTGTTTTGAATTTTCGCCCGCAAAAAGCTCTTTTTCGACTAAGTTTAGGGCGTATTCGGCTCTAACTCCCACCCTACGGGTCCGAATTACGTTCTGTTAGTTCTCACAAGTCTTATTTGTCATGGCAAAACTATCCGTGCGAGCCACAAGGTTGTTCGGGGGCTATTTTGAATTTTCGCCAAGTTATCAATCACAAGGATTTATTGTTTCATTTCATATCCAAATATTCAAATTGGCAGTAGATAACAACTATTCAACTTTACCCAACAACATATTCTAGTGTGTTTTACAATGTCGAAGGGAGAGGGGACAAAGAAGAGTCGTGGGGCTGAACATTGAAAGTTTGAGAAACAAATCTAACTGTAGGATTAAGGAAGTATCAATCTCGGTCACCCAACTAATTGTACACATTTTCAAAAACTGACTTGTTCTATTACATTGAGAACAAAAGCAAAAATTTCACGTAGAATTTCTTAGAAGCAATCAAATACAAAACTGGTGAAAGTAGCAAATATAAAATTGAAGAATCCTAGACACGAAAAAATTATTGAGAAGCTATTGTGAAGGGAAACAAAAAAAAAAAAAATAGAAAACTCAGGATCCTCAAACCTGTCGTTTTCATTAAGCTCTTGTTTTCACAGTTTTACATCAAAAAAAATAGAAAATTCTATTGTTGAGAAGTAATTGGACCGAATGATTGAATCATGTAAACATGTTATAGTGAGAAATTTTTAGAACCAAATACAAATGAAGCTGAAAAATGTGCAAAAACAAGATTATATTTACCTGGAACAAAACTCTCGAAACCCCAAAATCACAACTGGGTTTCGATCAAACACAGTATGTGTCTCCCTAGCCTGAACAATTCCTATATCGATCACCACCGACCCATTAACCCTAGAAATGTTCAGTGTGAAGCGTTCGGCTCCCATGTCCTTCGTGGCCAAGGTGGGTTGAACCGGGTTCACAATCGATTCGAGGGAGCCGAGAGAGTAGTACGAGTGATTGATTCTGTGTGAGAGAGAAAGACAGAGGGAGAGCAAGAGAGAGAAAGAACCGTGTGAAGAAGTAATAGATTTGGGCAAAAATTTAGGCGCAAATATGAAATTTTTCCCAGTAAAATTTTGAACAGATCTGGCGACTAAATTTTAGTCACTGAAGATAGGTTACCAAAGATAAAAATAAAATAAAAAAAATTACTTTTTGTCATCTAAAGGTGACTAAAATAATTTTTTGTCGCTGAAAGTGAGTATTTGGCGACTAAAACTTTAGTCACCAAAGAGAAAAAATAATTTTTTAATTTCCCATTCGGCGACTAAATATTTTAATAGCCAAAAGTCAATATACAGTGACTAAGTTTTTTTTTTGTTGCCAATTCTGGCATTTTTAGTGACTAATTTTTTTTTAGTCGCCAATAATGAATATACCCCGACTAAAAAAAATTAGTAACTAAATATTTTACTTTTGGGGACTAAAAAAAATGTTAGCCGCCAATTCCATAACGTTTGGCGACTAAATTTTATTTAGTCACCAATTTTAGTCGCCAAAGGTATATTTTGTTGTAGCGAAATATGTAATGTTAAGTTGATATTTATTTTGAATGCAAATATCGTTATAACTTATTTAACTCCAATCTTTCATTATGCTGTGATTTGTATTTTGTTCTTAGCATTGGTCGTGGTAATTTTGCCAACTTTCACCCACAATTGAGGAGGTATTTTTTTTTTTCAAGTTAAAAAAAAAAAAATTCTCTCCAATATTGATAGTAGCCAAAATATGGTGTGGTTCTTTTTTTAAAAAAATATTTTGATATTATGTGAAAAAAATATAAAAAAATAAATTTGCACAATTAGAGTAATCAAATCAAATTAAATTAAATATAGTATTCCTAGTAAGTAGGATCCACTACATGAATTATATTTTGCTATCCAATTCTATCAAAAACTATATGCTTTGGGCTTGCAAAATTAGAGCATGTTTGATTAGATGAATTATAACATAAGATTGAGATTATTAATACATAGAGCTCACATTATAATTTCTGTTATTTAAATTAGATACTAATGAATATTCAGGACTTGTTTGAGAAGTTGGCTATTTTACTTTTTGATTATTTTTGTCTGACTAAAATAATTATGTTTGGGAAGATAGTTTTTTTTTTTATATATAATTTGTGAGATAAAAAGTGAAATGATTATTAGTTGGACGTGACATTTTGTCTTATTAGTTATTTTAACATATTTTGTCTTTTGTATTTAGTTGGGGGATTTGATAAAGGATCTAGAAATGAAAAGAGAAAAGGTAAATGAAATGTGAATAAAATCTATATAATAAGGCAAGAGGCTTTTTGAAAATGTATAATTTGTCTTAGAGATACATTTTGATCTAATGGTCTGTATCAACCCTGGTATATATCAATGGCTCAGATCTATGTATTTCCCGCACAAATACTTCTCTCCTGCAACCTTTCACCTACCTACGTCTTCTCCATCTTCCCTCTTTATCTCTCTCCCTCTCTGTTCTCACCCACTCTCATCCCCATTCCCTCTTTATCTCTCTCTCCGTCTCTGTTCTTCTTCTTTCCTACCCTCCCTCTTCCGCTGATCTCCAGTCTTCTACCTCGGCTGTATCTCTCCCTTACGCTGCTCGCAAGGTAAGATTTCTACCTCTCCCTTCTATCTCTGTTTGTGTTTGCCTCTCCAGTCCTCGAAAACTTATTCCGCCTCTCCAGTCATCTCTGTCGGGAATAGGTTATTTTATAGTTTTGTTTTACGACTATTTTCTGTTATTTTAGGGCTATTTTCCAATGTTTATTCTGGGTTTGCAATCCTCTCTGTCAAGTGAACAGGTTATCTTAGGGTTTTGTTTTATGGCTATTTTCCGTTATTTTAGGGTTTTGTTTTAGAGCTATTTTCCATTGTTTATTCTGGGTTTGTAATCCTAACATTCAGGCTGTAAACATGTTATTTTCGATTGTTTTTTTAATTGTTGTTTTGATTTTGAAATCAGAAATTACGAAGAGGTGTTTTTCGGATGATTTGTTGTTTAGTAATGTTAGGTAAATTATTGTGTTTTGATTGCATTGATTATATACGATTACACCATTTTTGGAAATCCATTGATACAGATGGGATTAATCTTGGTTTATGCTTATAAGGTGTAAATAATGAGAGGGACTAAGGTGTTTTAGTGTGAAAATTTTCTAAATTATTATTCACACCATTTCGCTTCGTTTCGTTTAATAAGCTAAAGCTTACTTATTAATTGGTCCAGTCAAAATTGTTCAAAATCCCTCAGATGTTAGAAACTTAAACTTGGGATTCAAAAGTGTTTTAGTGTCATGGATTTTCAATCTAAAGTTGCTCAAAATTCTAATGTTAACAAGCTTTCTAACTATTTGATTGTAATTTGTCAGTTCATTACATCTAGAAAAGGAAAAATCAACTGTTGTTGTTGTTGTTGTGGCCAAAGATGATTTAGAGCATTTATGTTGACTTGTGGAGGAGAAAGATGGTGGCCCTTCTTGGATTCAGATGATGGATAGGTCTACACCCAGTTTGAGCTATCAAGCTTGGCGGAGAGATCCTGAGGTAATGCTTTTCTTTATCAATGTTGTTTTCCTTTGATTCACTAAATTAATACTAGAATGAAACCAGTGGCACTTTGTTTGTGGGAGTGAACAGGTAGTCACTACTCCATTCCGTACTACCCCTACTTAGCTATATTGTTGCAGGTCATGTAATGTAACTCACTTGTTTATTTATGTTGGTTTCTTCATACTACTTGTGGTTGATTACATCAAAATCTTCATGGCTTTTTTTCCCTCTTCCAGAATGGGCCCCCGCAATACCGTAGCAGGACAGTCTTTGAGGATGCCACTCCTGAGATGGTAAGGGATTTATTTTGGGATGATGATTTTCGATTGAAGTGGGATGACATGCTTATATATGCTGAAACTTTGGAAGAGTGCCCCAACACGGGAACCATGGTAGTTCGGTGGGTACGCAAGGTAGGGCGAGAACTCTTTTTTTTATCCTCTTTAATTCTAATGCTTTGTTTATATTGATCCCACGGACTTATGTTTTGTAATGTTTTCTTTTTTATTTTTCCTTCTTTCTTTTTTGGCACAGTTTCCCTTCTTACAATAAACAAATGCTTTCCTAAGCTTTTATGCCTGAAATTCCTTTACTGAATACTTATTGTGAGCATATTTTCTTGCTGTAGATGCGAACAATTTGATTCCCATGGAAATTACACTTAAAATTGCTGAGAAAATCAGAGCACGTGAGAGGTTTGCTGCTTATATTGTTATTCCAATGTGGCCAGAAGGCAATCCAATAGGTGCTGCTACACAAAGGATTTTATTTTGGCAGGTAGGAACCAATTATGACTTCAACGCATAGCATTGTACTTCTTCATTTTAAAGGCAGCTTTAGAGACAGATAACTTTGTTGCTTTTTTTTTCATTGGATTAATATTTCCAATGGGAAATCAAAAAATTCTATTAATCTGCCTATCATTGTATATACTTCTGAAGGATCAATTTTTGATTTTGAAATTATCTCTCATTTATTGTACAGAACAAAACAATGAAAATGATGTAAGGGAGTACCCTGCCCCTCTGACCTGCGGCGCAACAAGCCAAGACGTGTTGATTCATATTATTCAAGTTGGTACATACGTGCAGGTACTTACAGCCTCTTGCTATACATATTTCACTAAATTTTTCATTTTAATTAAAGGACTTAATTGTTTGACATATGCCTTTTTCAGTATTTATGCTACTACCTAAAGTATAGCCCTTTAGAAATCGAGTTTTTCTGAAATGAGAAATTACAATTGTACTACCTCAAATATAAACACTTAATATTTCTGGTCACTGAACCTCTCAGTAAGATCTGTATTTTTGGATGTTACTCAGTTGAATCATAGAAAGGGGATGGTCAGCTGACTGCATGTGAGGTGTTACTGTTCCATCACGAAGAGATGGGTATACCTTGGGAAATTGCAAAGCTCGAAGTCCAGAAGATTGACCCTGGCTTGCGCGCGTAACAGAGAGAGAGAGAATCTGGTGCTTCACTCTCACGGTGCGCTTTCATGGCTCAGGTCAACATCAAAGTTAGTGCAGACTTCCTGAGATCCTTGGAAAGCACAAGTGGTTCATCAGAGGTTGAAACCCCGAATTCATCTGAGAAGCCCTCAAGGAGGAACATGCCTAAGTTTCTATTCATTGGTGGGGCTATAGTGCTTGCTTGCAGTCTTGACCGAGGGCTTTTAACAAAGGCAGTTATATTTGGAGTGGCCAAAAGGTTCACAAAGATTGGTAAGAGGAGGTGATTGGGATGTTTTGACATATGTGTACCAAGATGTCATGGAAGACATGTTTTTGCAGCGAGTAAGGAACTAATTTTTTTTTTAATTTATAAGATCTCCTTCCATGTCTTAAATATGTGGAAGGTGTTGTATTCTTTTTTTTGAGCCATGAAGCAGCTACAGTTCAGGAGAAGAGATAAGATTGAAAAGTTGTATTAGATGAAAATGAAAATCTCATTGAAGGATCTTATGTTGCAGAAATAACAAGCAGATTCAATTGCTTTTCTTTCATTGATTTTTCTCCCATGTTTTCTTTCATTGGCAGGTTCTTAAGGATGTGATGGATGGAGATTCTTTGCCTTTCACTGAACATCAAGAATTATTGGATGCATTTGTTCGAGTTCATTTCCATTCCAGTTTGAAGAAATACAACCGCGTGGAATGTTGGGGCCCACTTAAGGATGCTGCATAGGTACTTTAACCCGCGCACGCATGACTAAAATGCCCTTTTCTTAGCAACCATGCCTTAACAAGCTAGCATATGTTTGTTTGTAATGTCACCCTTTAATAATCGATCAAATTACAACCAAATGCAAATTCTATAATTTCCATAAATGATCCTGAGCTGAAATTTCATTTGAATTTGATCATATAAGTTAAGTTGATTTATCAAACCTTTTCAGGGAAGACAAGGAGATCAAATCAGCGGTTTGTTAAATTTAAAAATGTGTAATTTATCTTAGAGAGCATGGCCACATGTGAGTGGGAGTGTTAAGGATACAAATAATGAAGTTATCCATACATCTTGATGAAGTTACTCCTTTCTCTAACAGCATAAGCTTTCAATGTGATGGTAGTAAAACTTGCTTGGTTGTAGCAAACAAGGAGATTGGTTGAGAATTTTTTCTGTGTCTTTACTTACGGTAGACGGTTTAATAGGATTAGGTAGTTCTTTTGATTTGCTACATCGTGTTTTTGTTGAGAGTGAAGTGGCCTCTGATATGACAATAAATAAATGCTTTCCTAAGCTTTTATGCTTGAAATTCCTTTACTGAATATTGGTTGTGAGCATATTTTCTTGCTGTAGGTGCGAACAATTTGATTCCCATGGAAATTGCACTTAAAATTGCTGAGAAAATCAAAGCACGTGAGAGGTTTGCAGCTTATATTGTTATTCCGATGTCGCCAGAAGGCAATCCAATAGGTGCTGCTACACAAAGGATTTTATTTTGGCAGGTAGGAACCAATTATGACTTCAACACATAGCATTGTACTTCTTCATTTTAAAGGCAGCTTTAGAGACGGATAACTTTGTTGCTTTTTTTTTCATTGGATTAATATTTCCAATGGGAAATCAAAAAATTCTATTAATCTGCCTATCATTGTATATACTTCAGAAGGATAAATTTTTGATTTTGTTATTATCTCTCATTTATTGTACATAACAAAACAATGAAAATGATGTATGAGACCATTTACAAGGCTTTAATGGAGGTTGGGCTTCAGAATGAATACACCCCACAAGACTATTTTAACTTACGTTCACATTTGAAAAGCACTGGTGTGCATTGTTTGTTGTTTGGTCTTAAATTACAGATGATTGGTTGGTGTGCATTGTTTGTTGTTTTGTTTTAATTAAATTATTTTAGAATTGTAGAGCGCTGGCGTGCATTGTTTGGTATCCAATTTTAATTTTTTAGAGTTGTAGAATATTAGCTGTTGTGCATTGTTTGGTTAATTTTATTTTATTTTATTATATAATTTTAATTTTAATGAATATTATAAATTTTATATGTTTATTCCTTAATTTGCATTAAGACTAGGGAGAGTTGTTAATTTACATTTGAATTCTGTAGATGGTATGGTACAAGCAAACATATTAAAAGTTCTTTAAGAAGAAAAAATGTTACAGACTCCACATGTTTTAACATGATACGTATATAAATTACAAATATATTTCGATCTCAATATTATTTATACCGTGCCTTTAGGCACGGGCATACACTAGTATATTTACATTTCACATAGTTTTACATAATTTTTTTCTTTTTTATCTTTTCAAATTTCTTAATCAAACACAGTATTAATGGACTATTTTAGCCTAACCCTCTTTCCAAACAGGATTTCAATCTAACAAAATTGACTTTTTTAATCTTACAATTAATAATACAAAATAAACATCTAATTAAAATAAAGAGAATTTGATCTTGATATTCAATCACTACTACAGATAGATTTGTAATGATTATTTATAGAGATAAGGCTATCTCTTAACTATAACTCCTAACTACTTAACCTAATCATAACTACTATCTAACTCTAGTTCTAACAACTAACAACCAAACTAATAACCTCCAAGCTTTAGTTGAGCTGCATCAAACTACAACTGAAACTGCAGCTTATACGGCTGTTGTCTGTCCTGTATCTGGCTTAGGCTGCAACTGTGGTATGTAAGACGTGAGCTGTAGCTGGGGAGATGACTGACCATCTTGACCATGATCAGTATGAGGCTCGGATGGATGAGATAGCTTATCAGTCCCTCTTAAACTAAGGGAATTGGGAAAGGCCCGAAGTTTGCCCTGAAGATATTGAAATCTGGAGATAGAGAGAGGCTTAGTAAGGATATCTGCAATTTGATCAGTGGAGGCAATGTGGCAAATAGTAAGTTTCTTGGCTGCAACCCTCTCACGAACAAAATGATAGTCCACCTCAATATGCTTGGTCCTAGCATGAAAGACTGGATGTGAGCCAAGGCTATGGTAAACAAGTTATCACACCACAGAGTAAGAATATCCACAAAGACATGAAGTTTAACAAGAAGCATGCCAAGCCAGCTCAACTCAGCAGAAACCTGAGCTAAGGCACGATATTCAACCTCAGAGGAAGATCTTGAAACTGTAGACTGCTTCTTAGCACACCAAGAAATGAGGTTGGGACCAAGAAACACATAATAGCCTGTAGTAGATCTTCTGTCAAGAGCATTGCCAGCCCAATCTGAGTCTGAAAAAGCATTAAGAACAAGAGGGCCAGAAATAAAATGCAGGCTATGACTCAAGCTGCCATTGAGATATCTGAGAAGTCTTTTAATAGCAGCAAAATGACTATTCAAAGGATTTTGTAAAAATTGACACAGATAATTGACAATGAAACTGAGATCAGGTCTAGTAAGAGTAAGGTATTGAAGAGCACCCACTAAGCTTCTGTAAAGACTAGGTTGAGAAAAATGAGAGTCCACCTCTGAAAGAGCAACCTTAGTAGCCATGGGAGAAGAATAAGGCTTACAGTCACTCATATCTGCCTTTGCTAAGATTTCAGAAGCATATTTCTGCTAAGACAAAATATAACATGAAGGAGAAGAGGCAAAAAAAATGCCAAGGAAATAGTTGAGCAGACCTACCTCTTTCATAGAAAAGGTTGAGTGCATATGATGCATAAGGGTGGAGATATAGAGAGGATCACTCCTAGTAAGTAGTATATCATCCACATAAACAAGCAAAATAGTAATGGAAGTAGAAGTGTGTTTGACAAACAAAAAAGAGTCATAGTGACTAGGAACAAAATCATGAGAAAGAAGAAAAGAAGAGAAAGTGGAGAACCAAGCTTGAGGAGCTTGTTTTAAGCCATAGAAAGCTTTGTGCAATTTACAGACAAATAAGGGATGAGTAGCATCAATAAAACCTTGAGGTTGTTGCATA